ATTATTCATAGGAAGGTCTGACTATGACATAACCTTCCAGATGGCACTTTGATTAATAACTTATAGAGGGAGATGCTATCTAGAGAAGTTAGAAGGCAGGGATAATTGAGAAATTAAATTAATTATGGACCCTAATGAGATTAACCTAACCTTCACACATAAAGGTAACACCTAATTAGAAAAAGAAAATAATTGAAGTAAAAGATAATGTAGACTTTAATATGGTCTTTTTTTAAAAAAAGATTTATTTATTTGTTTGTTTGTTTGTTTGTTTATACAAGCACTGGGTACAGTCAGAAGTGTGGGAGGGTGACAGAATTCACCAGAGCCAGAGCAGGGAAGAGAACAGACAGACCGACGAAATACACTGCTGAGGGGAGCAGCGGGCGCGGCAGGAGAGGTCTGCGCACAGTGTGGGACCCTCGCTCATGGCCAGGGATCGAACTGCAGTGGGCAGCTTCGCAGCCCAGCACTCAACTGCTGCGCCACCAGGGGAGGCCCTATAATAAGGTCTTTTTAATAAATTATTTGTCCAATACCTTTATTTCCTAGGAAGTCAGGTTAATCAAATAACCAAGAAGTGGTTGATGATGATGGGGAGGTGGAAGTAAATTGTGTGGCAGAAAAAGTAAAGGGCTTCAAGGAGAGTACATGTGCTTAAATTGGAGTAAGAAAGAACTCCTGAAACTACCTAAATTCTAGCTTCTTATAATTCTGGTTCCTATTTTCTCTATTACCACCAAAAATAAACTCATTCCAAAGAGACATGCAAAAATGCTGCCACACTAATTTTGAAAGCAAATATTATTTTGGATTTTTTAAGGAACGTCAAAATCCCATGACTAGTATTGTTCTTAGAGAACTAAGATTCCACTTTATTAGTGCTTCTTGATTTTGGCTGCATATTAGAGTGATCTGAGGAGATTGGCAAATCATTGATGGGTCCCATTCTCAGAGATGTAATTGGTCTGAGGTGTGAGCTGGATATAAAGATTTTTGAAATCTTACTAGATAATGCTAATGTGCAGCTTGGTACAAGAACTATTGTTCCAGGGACCCTAATGAGAGACTAATCCTTTTTCTATTATTATTAGTTTAGACAGAGTTTTACTAATCAAGCTTAAATGTTTGTTGAATAAAGTTAAAGCTGCATGAAGAAGATCATTCCTCATGTTTTGCAGATATTTGCTACACAAGAAGCATACACATTTATTTTTAAAGTTTTCATCTACTCTAAACACTTGAAATAGAGATCTTTACCACTTTAAGAGAAAAAAAAAAACAAATCTCATGGTGATTTTTCTTATGAATGCAGTCTTTTCATCCATTCAGAAAGCATTTAAGTATCTACCGACAAATGTACTAACCATTGGGCTGATGATGCTCAGCAAATATTCTGGGCCAGTGAAGCTAAGCAAAACAGTCTATTGTGGAATCTATACAGCTAACCAGACCATTTATACTCAGTGAAATAAATGATGCTGTCAGGGAAGGTCTGGATGTAATGGGAAGGCAAACAGAAACAAGCAGAAAAAGAAGTTCTATTTTTTATAAACTCACTCCCTGAGACTATGATTATTAACATTGTAGTCATTTCTGACTATTGAAAAAGAATGATAAAATTAGACTTTCAATATGGAAAGTCTAATTTAGGGGATGTATCATTTATAACATTCACTCTCTTGCTGTGATCCACTTAGCGTTGTATTGTGAATGTCTTCCCCCTGTCCTTAAATAGTCTTTCTCCATTTTTAATGGTGACAGGACATTTTATGATGGAGTGCCATCATTTGGCTGCAGTAGATAATGGGAATTTATTTCTGTTTTATTGACTTTGCCCCCGCAAGGTCCATTTACCCTCTTCAATTTCCCTCTGGGAAATTCATGGGTACTCTGGGGAACTTAGGAGACTGTTGACTCCACCCATGATTTCCAGGTCTCGGTGCTTGACCCACGCCTAAGTCCTGGCACTCCCCTATCCTCAGCACTATATCCCATGTGGGCTGTGTCACCTCCCCCAAATCGTGGGGAGAAAAAGCCTCCCTGCACTCCAATTCCTTTCTAAGCGATGCTTCAAGGAAAAAAACACTCATGAGAGTGGGCACAGAGGTTGTGTGCTCTTTGAGGCCAAAAATTATGCCTTATTTGTGTGTGTTTCCTTGTTCCTAACTCAGGGGCTGGCATGGGCATGCACATGAGCTATGTGCCAGCTACAAGTTCATCTCGACCAAAGAGCAAGATCAGATCCAGCACTTATCTTCATTTTCCCTTGAAGCGATGTTCAATAGACTTGAGAAGACGCAGGAAGGGAATGTGCTTGGCTGATAAGTTTGGTGGAGGTTTCCTTCTTTTGAAAAGAAATGAACAAAAAGTAATATCTTGCACATGTATTAAACTTCACAGTTTAGTAAGTGCTTTCAAGGCATTACCTTCTTTCAGCCTGGGCAGAAATAATTACTATCCTTCACACTGTGAAAGCAGGAACTGAGACATAGGGGTATTTATTGACTGGGTATTTCTTGTTCAGGGCCGTGCAAATGACAAATTGTGAATCTGACTATCATGGGGTTTTTCCCGCTACACTGTACAACTGCATAAAATGTGCCCACTCTGTCTGGATTCATTTCCCTTTCTCTTTTTCTCAATTTCTTCTCTTTCTGCTGCATGTCCTAGAAAAGTACTTGAGGGCCCTGTTTGTACAACTCTGGGCTCTTTCCACCAATTGAGGAACAAGGCTGATGTAGTTCATTGGGTAAACACCAGCAGCAAATGACAATCATTTACACTGACAAGCAAACTTCTGATTACCCATCCACTGCCTGCTATGGAAACAGGTGTAAACCAAGATTTAAATCCTTTACACAGTATGGTAAATAATTGAATCTCTCCTCAGCATGGTGCTTGCGAATGTCAACGTTTGAGCCAAAAACCAACAGATGTCAATCACATTCTGATGCAAGCCTTCAGTTTCTCAACCAGAATAGCTGGGCCAACAAATGGCCCTTGATTGCCCCTGCCCAGAGGTGGGGAAGCTGGCAACATCAGAAGTGCACAGTAAGACAGAAAGTTCTGATGAATAGAGGAAGACTCACTGTTCCAATAAAAGCTCAGTCACTGATCCTGAGAGCCAGGGACGATCCCTCCACCTTTAATTCCTCCTCCCCTTGAAAGCCGCCCCCTTTATTTCTCTATCCCTCTTTCTCTCTCCCTCTCTCTCTCTCTCTCCCCCTCCCTCTCTCTCTCTCTCAAAATAATTCTTCCATGCACTGTTCTGCAGATACCTAGTTGACTGCAGGTATATAAAAAAGAAGGCATGAAGACAGAGGGGAAAAGCAGCAGCTTCAGGCTAGCTACTATACCATTCTCACTTAAAGATAACCTGGGTTCTCATTGCCTAAGCAAATGAGCTAGGTCCTATGAAAATTACATGCAAATGTGTTTGCAGTTGTCAAAAACAGTTGCCTATACCTGCCAGAGTCCACTGAACCAGTTGTGCCTCCTATAAATTTTCATCAGTATTATTCATGTTCTAATCAATGTAGATCTTGTCTCAGGCTGAGAAGGCAAGCAGGGGTGGGGCTTATCTGCACCCCTCCTACATCTGAACCTGAGCTTTCTCTGGAATGGCAGGTCCTGGGCTAAGTCACACTTAATAAATCCCATAGTAAGAACACTGGGTATTAACTAAGGGAATGGCAAATGCCAGTCAGAGAGTAATTTTCCTGATTTTCTTTTGCCCCTTTAGAAAATTCTAGCTCGCCATCAAAGTTCGTACCTTCTGGCATCATAAGCAATACTATGGCTTGGATGTTGCTGGCTTAAAAAAATCATCCTGAAATACAATCTGTGGGCAGATTTTAACCAAGTCCTGGGTAAGAAATGAATTTAATTTTCTCCTGTACTGACATAATTTATGGTAGAGAAAGAATAGCTTCTACTTACTGAGCACAAGGAGTTTCTTCTCTGAAAACTTTCTGTTTGTTTAATTTGCTCAGGAAAACTTTCCTTTCCTGGTCCCATTTATCAAGCAAAAGGCACGAGACAGGCACTGGGCTGGGTATGCATGATCACCTTTCACCCTCAATTCAATGCCCTGATATGGGCAGTAGCTTCAATCAACAAAGAAAGATCAAGACCCAAAGAATGAAGTAACTTGCTTGGGCTACCTCAGCTGATAAAGGAAGGGCAGACTGGGATTTGAAACCCAGTGGGGTTCTCTTCCAAGTACTTCTCTTAAATTATGCCATCAAGCATTTGTCCTTTCTGTTCTGCCAGACTTTCCGAAGAAAGGCACTCTTGTCTTCCCAGTCTATGAGTGTGTCCACAGAAAGGAAGGAGAAAACAGAGAGAGAGACTATAATAACTATATTATAGCTATAGCATAGCTAATACGTTTTGAGTTTTATAATAACAATGAATCTACTAAACCTTGTGTTTTATACATATTAATTTAGTTAGTCCTGAAATCAGCCCTATCAAATAGATATAATAATTATTATCATTTTCATTTTACAGATGGGAAAGACTGAGGCAAAGGAAGAGACCTATCCAGCATCACACAGCTAATAAGGGTCTGAACTGGAGACCAGTCTAGGAAGCTTCTCCCAGGGGCATAATCAGAAGCCTCCAAGCATCCTGATGAGAATGTTCCAGCATGTGGTGGGTTCCGGTGACAGACATAACATGTGGGGAGTTCCTAACCCTTTCAAGGAAAATGATAATTAGGGCAGAGAGTCTGTATAAGCATGTATGTTAGACTATGGCGCTTCCATGGGAAAGGATGCCTCTACAGAAAGCACACCTGGCTAACCTGTCTGTCTTGACTGGATAATACATCTGTGCATGTGAAGAGAGTGCCTACAGAAAAACAGACACAAGCCATGGACAATCTGGATGGTCTTAATATTATTTCCAAACTAGTGTCTAGATTTACATGTGAGGGACTAGGGTGCAAGTAGGAGGATGGATGCATTGGACAAACCAGAGGTGACCCAACTTACTTCCTGACTTTATTCTCCACGCTTTCCGCCACGTAGTAGCCAGGTTTGCATTCATATCGGCAGACGGACCCCACATCGTGGTTGCCTTGGAGGCAGTGAGGCAGGAGCAGGTTGGCATTCGGGATCACAGGAGGGACCCCACACTCCAACTTGCAGAAGGCTTCAGGGAGAGACCAGAGCCCATCTTCAAGACAGGTCAGCCATGGGCTCAGTCCTGACTCCAGGAAAGAGAAGCATAGGTTGCTTAAGACCGAGAATCCAGACATATAATAATTGAAGAAAAGAATGAAAACTCAAGGACAATCTCAGAAAGTCACAGTATTCTTTGTTGAGCAACTTCTCTAAAATATCAGGTCAACAGTTTATCCTCTGTTTTACCCACAGAGCAGTCAGCATGGTCTCTTAAAAGAACAGAACTTAGATAACTGCTTCTTGATTTGAATGAAAGGGAGGTTATCAACTCAATCATTTCTTTACTTCTGCACTAGAAATAATAAAAATACAGCTGTGACATTATCATGGAAAGCATTGTAATAACAAGAGATGACACGTTTTTGGAGCTTATTAAATATCATGCACTGTGCTAAGCATTTTACCTGTATGCACTTGTATAAGCAAACTTCAAACCTTAAACAACCCTAGGATAGAGATTACCATCATTATCTCCTATTTTGCACATCAGAAGATTGGATCTCATTGGCTTGCCTGAGCTAGAAGACGCAGAGGCAGACTTTGAATAGGTGATTTGATACAGATTCTGTGCTTAAACACACACCGTATATCCTAGTAGGATTCACGGTTTCTCCAAGCACAAGCCATAAACTTCTGCAGTAGCATCTCCATCCCTCCCGAGACATAATAAAGCACAATCTGTCAGTGCAAGGCTCAAGAATCTGCATTTATAACAAGCCTCGGGGGTCGATGTTAGGCGCCTCAAAGTCTGAAAAGAGGTTAATAGCTGAGTGGAAGGGAGGGTCAATGAGAGTGGCTTCCACGCCCTCTTCATCTCACAAGCAGTACAGCCAGGGACAAATCCTATCACTGTGTTCTCATCTATAAAACAAGCTTAATGCATCTAACACAGAGGATGGTTGTAAATATTAAATTTTAAAATGTGCATGATAAACTACTTTGAACACTGATACTGTCAGGAAACTGTTAGTTGGCTTGACTCTGAAGGACATCTAATTAAATTGAACAGGAAAGTTGGCATTTCTCTCATTAAGGAGATCCTTCCAGGGAGCTGGGGTAAAGAATGGTGTTACCCTCTGGGACTTTGCTGGTATTATCAGAAAAGGGTGGCATAGCTGAGCACTGGGGTGAGAAGATTCTGGAGTATTGCCAAACAAAGGAACTGAAGAGAGTTTATGTAGTTCCTGATGGGTCAGATAATACCTTGAAGTTTGGCTGGTGGGACACAGGTGATTAAGCAACGTTTCAGGAAGTCTGTCCCTTGTGAGCAGTAGAAGGTTGCGTAGTTCACCAAGGAGGGGTCAGGGACGCCACAATCCAGGGGCATGCAGCTCACAGCCCGGTCCCAGTGCCCAGAGGAACACGTGAGCAGCACTTCCTTCTAGAAACAGAGACATTTTCCTCTGTCAAAGTCACATAAAGAGGTTTGTCAAAACACATTCCCGATCTTTGGAAGAGTCCTGGTGATGATTTGTGCAAACATTTCAAAAAAGGTAAAATTATCTTGCCTTTCTCCTCCAGTATGCCTTGTTTTATTGTTTTATTTTTTTAATTATTTATTTTTATACAAGAATCGGGGTACCGGCCAGAGATGTGGGAGGGTGAGAGGATTCACCAGAGACACAGTGGGGAGCAGAACAAGCAGACTGACGAAATACACTGCTGAGGGGAGGAGCGGGCGAGACAGGAGAGGTTTGCTGAGCCACGTGGGATTCTCGCCCGGCTGGCCACGATCGAACCTGCACTGCAGAGGCTGCGGACAGCTTCACAGTGCAGCACTCAACCTGCTGCGCCACCAGAGAGACCCCAATATGCCTTGTTTTAGGATATAGCCACACAATGCCTTGGGACTGTACTGACTGGTGACAGGCATCTGCAAGTGTGAGAGAATCACCAAATGGGGATGCTCCTCCAGGCCAACTGTTGACTGCTCTCACCAAACTCCTCCAGATCTGCCCCCTTCTCATCTCAACCTGCTCTGTTTCTGTGCCTAGGGATCCTGGCCCTTTGGATTTCATGCCTCTGCCTTGTGTTTGGGGTCAGCACCAGGGCACTCTGGCAGGAGCCTGGAGAGAAAGTGAGGAAAAGAAGAGCCTTATTCTTGCTTCCCGCTCCATAAGGGGTGGCTGCCTGCTGGCTTCTCCTTTTAGCAACCCTCCTCTGTGCTCTCCTCCTCTGAGTTCTGCTCCCTGCGTAGACGTCTCAGGCCTAGAGGTGATGCCTTTCACTCTGGGGTCTTGCATGACCTCCTTGTAATCTCCTGTTCACATCTTTATAAATCCCTTTATTAAATCCCCTCAAATTACCTACCTTTGAGCTTGTCATCTGTCCTGCTCAGAACCTTAATGATGAACCAGCTGATTATGCTAATGAAAATAACTGTCCCCACTGAGAGTGATGCATAGTGTCTCAGAACAACAAGGCAGTTTTCAAACCTTGTGTCAAATTTTGAGAGATTCCAGCCATATACTTGGGCCTGTAACTGCAGTAGGGTGGCCTTAAAGTGCATCACCAGTAATTAAATGAGGTGATCCTGAGCGCCTAGAGGGACCACATTCTGCACTAGGTTCAGAGAAACAAGATGCTCTCTCCTCAAGGAGCTAAAAAATAAGTTCTACCAGTGGATCAGATTACATATTCAAACAGTGGCTCAGATAAATGCCTGAAGAAGGAAGAAGGGAAAAAAGGAGAATGAGAGAGAGGAAGGGGTAGAAGAAAGAAAATGCAAAGATATATTTTTTGTTATACCCTACCCACTTCTATAATGATTTGGGAGAATACAATACAAAGAACACAAATGATAAAGGAAGTAGAAACAGGACTAGGAAGAACAGAATCTGAGATGTACAACATAAGTAGCGTTATGGACACGTGTGTGCTTTATGGGAGAGAGACAGTGCTCCTGGGGAAGGTGCCCAGAGAGGCAATTCGGGAATTGGCCTCAGAAAGGCCAGTCGGACTTCCCAGCTGCAGAGGGAACTGAGAGGTGGGGTGGAAGGGTTGAGAAAAAGGTGTTCAGGGTAAAGGGAACAGAACGAGCAGGGACCTGGAGACCTGGACACTCACAACTTGTTTGGGAAAAGAAACACAGCTGTCACTCTGGCCAGTGGGTTACCAAAGGGTAAAGAGAACATGAGAAAGAGAAGAGATTCTGTGGCTGGGCCAGAATCCTGCTGGGAGATCACAGGGATATGAAAGCCAAAGGTAAAATGATTAGTGAGAGCACCTGTTCCTCCTTACACCAGCTCCTGGCTAGCTGCTTCTGTTTGCTTCCCAGTATTTCCCTGTTGCCTGCCAGAAGGACCCAGTTCAAAGCCAGTCACATTGTTCTGTTTAGTCTCAGTGCTTGTGTCAACACAAAGTAAATATCTCCACTGTCTTGTGATCACGAGCTGGGATTATATGATCTCCTTAGCAGGGCTAACCTCGGTGATAGTAGCGGTCAGTTGGAGAGCCTGCTGCCCACTTCACCACACGGAGATGGGAGGGAGAGCTGCCACCTTCCTCTTTTCAACCCAGAGTCTGCTCCCAAACACACTTATCACCAACCACAACAATCATTTAAAGAGTGTCTCTCAAGACTCTACATATGTCACCCGGTTTTCTCCTGGTTTCATTAAGTATTGTATGTTTGTCTTGACTCCTCATTTTAATACACTGCAAACAGTCCTTTCTTTTCTCCTCCACTTTATCCCACAGGTTTATTCAGTCCCTACATTAAAAAAATTCTTTCTCAGTCTATTTCTTTTCTAGTGTGGTTTAAGATGGGTTAAGAAAAGGTAAGAGCTAAGATTTCTGCCTTTCCGTCTAGAGAACTCTGCTTTTCTTCTTGTCATAAACCAAGAATGTGGCGCCTTAAAGAATGTGAAAGCTGTTTCTCCCTCTACAGAACCTAAACCACCTGAAACCAAGGATTGTTTCCTTAAATTCTAAACATCCATACCAAGGAAAACTATTCTATGGATTTACAAACCTACTAAGCAGTTAATTGACACAAAAATGAAAAAAAAATCCAATTTTCTGAACTGTTGATAACTGACTATCAATTATGCTTTTGCTCCTTCCTCAGCATAACACAAATTTCTGGTTCTCTCCTTAAGCACCACTAACTTTTACCTCACATGTCCTTTCTGTCTCTCATATTATGGTCATGTTTGTTCATGGTTGATTTCAAGTTTAAAATTTCTCTCCACTCCTAGGTATTTACCCAAATGGCACAAACATTAATTCCAAAGGGCACCTGCACCCCTATGTTTATAGCAGCACTATTTACAATAGCTAAGCTAAGGAAACAACCCAAATGCCCAAAAATAGATGACTGGATCAAGAAAATGTGGTGCATATACACAATGGAATATTACTCAGCAATCAAAAAAGATAAACTCATGCAGTTTGCAGCAACATGGATGGAGCTAGAAGGGATCATGCTCAGCGAAATAAGTCAGAAAGAAAAAGAAAAATACCCAATGGTCTCACTCATAGCAGGGATTTAGAAAACCTAAATAAGGGACCAGGAAAAAGACTAATTGATACAAAGTAAAAATCGAAATCAACAAGCAACTATGGGCCAGAGACGCACTGTCGTGGAGTAGGGAGTGGGATGCGGGGAGAGGAAGGACTAGGATCAAAATAAGGGGGCGTGCAATTGTATGGGGAGTATAACCAAAATGAAAATGCATACATTGTGCAAAAATGAAAAATGATGTAAGAATTATACAAAATAAAATACTAAAAAAAATCCCTCTGTAGAGCATTGAAAGCGCTCTAAAGGAAATACGGAAAACAAAATTCTTAGATGAGCATTTTGTTCATAATACACTATCATGTTCATAATAATGGCAGCTTAACAGAGATTGTGGGGTGCCTATCATATTCAGAGGATATTAAAAGTTTTTTAATCTGTCATCATAATAACTCAGTGATGTTCTTTTGCTCTCATCAGTTTCCAAATGTGGAAACAAACTTGAGAGTCTCTTTTTCTTAAACAAACTAAGAGTCCCTTTTTCTTAAAAGATACTCTTTTGTTTGCCTTTTACCTAAAATTACACACCTAATAAATAGTGGAGCCAAATTTTCATTCTGGGTCTATCTCCTGAGCCACAATTTTATTTTTTTTCTTTCTTTTTTCTTTTTTTAATAATTATTTTTAAAATTTTTTACATCATTGTTCATTTTTAAACAATATTTGCTTCTCTCCACCCCCTCAGGTATAGTCCCCACAGAGTTTCCTTCCCAATGCACCCGTGCACCATCACCTCAGTCCCCTGTGCTCTTCCCTCCCTCCCTCTGATCCCTCTCCCTCCTCCTCCCCTGCAGGATGTCTCTGGTTTATAATCATCTGTTTTTGCTTTGTTGTGTTTTGTACTGTTATTATTTTTTTACACTGATGTCTTACTTGGTTCCCCTATATTCCTGCTATAAGTGAAACCATCCAATACTTTTCTTTTTCCTCCTGGCTTATTTCACTGAGCATAATTCCTTCTAGCTCCATCCATGTTGCTGTGAACGGCATGAGTTTATCTTTTTTGATTGCTGAATAATATTCCATTGTGTATATATGCCACATCTTCCTGATCCAGTCATCTATTTCTGAGCAATATTTTTACTCTCCAAATCACCTTGAAATTCTGGAAATTATGCTGTGGTAGCTTGTAGAAATTTTAAAAAATCAGCCAAAGCTAAAGCCAGAATCATAATATCCACCTCAGTAACATCTTTCAAGCTTTGGGGAAGAAAATCAGATGTTTTCTCTCTCGACTCCAATAAGGAGAATTAGGAAGTTGGACAATGAACCATGGATGAGTGGGTTGCAACCTATCTTGTCTGCAACTTGTGGGCAAATCTCAACGGTGATATTCTCACCTTGAAGACAAAATAGGGGCCATGATTTCTGAAATGAAGTCAAAAACAAGGGAGAAGAATGGAATAAGCAGCTGCTTATTCCATCTGGAGAACCACTGACACCCTAGTTTAATCAGAATTGCACATACACTTACATACCTTACATTTCTATACAGTAGAGCTTTTCCCTGCTTCTTCGTCTTCATTTTTCATTTCAATGATTTAAAAACATATGTCCTTCCCCCATCCACCCATGGAAAGGAGAATGAGAACCTGCCTTTCCCAGAAGTTTGGTTTTGATGACTCAGGATCTTCAACTCACCTGAATGGGTCTGAGGAACCACCCTTTGCTGGCCTGAAGGGCAAACCCTCTTTGACACGTGATTGCACACTTCATGTGCCCTGGGCCATCTGAGGTACAGTTCACCACATCCGCATGGTCAAGCAGCAGTGGGGCACAGCTGTTTTGCTCCCCACAGGACTGATGGGCACAGCTGGGGGTGACAGAAACAGAAACATCTTAGACTGACTCAGAACAAATAGCAGCAGCCAGAACTCTGGCCTCTCTCTGGGAAGTGCCTCAAAACAAATGAAGATATTTTTTTCCTGCTAAACAAACATCAAACTCATCATCTCTTTCTATGAAACCATATGGCATAAAATAACATGATCAATAACAGCTAATAAATTATGACCAGCCACCTTCTATGGCTTTTCTAGGAGGAAAAAATGGTGATGGAACAAGGTGGATAGTATGTGTCTAGAGCTCTAGATGGCATCAGAAATGAATCGATCACAGGATGCCTGCAAAAGTAAACACCCAATACTGCCAGGTCCCAAACAATTAGAACAAAAGTAAGGAGTGAATTCTGAGGGACCCTGGTTGTGTCAGGCATTAATATTTTAATTGTTTGATCATAGGCATTATCAGGGTGGTCTGTGTGAGGGTCTAAGTATCTGACATGACAGAAAAGGCACCATTTATTTACTGATTGGTATGAAAATACATTTGACCTTTGAACAATAGGGAGTTTAGAGGCACCAACTCCTACATGGTTGAACATTTGCACATGACTTTTAACTCCCCCAAAACTTGACTACAGATACCCCTTGATATTTGCGGGGGATTGGTTATAGAACCCCAGTGGGTACCCAAATCCAAGGATACTCAAGTATTTAATCAGTCCTCCATATTCATAGGTTCTGAATTTGTGGCTTCAACCAACAGACATCTGAGATTGATTGAATCTGTCAAAGGACGACCACGGATGTGCAGGGCCAACTGTATTTACTGAACAAGATTCCAACATAAGCGGACCCACGCAGCTCATGTTGTTAAAGCAGTACAGCCACAGCCCTACACAACACTGCACAACAGTACTGCTAATCAGAAGTTGAGTCCGTGTCAGGAAGAGGAATCTTAAATCCCTGCTACCTGCAGGACACTGTGCTAGGTGCCTCCAGGGACATCCTCTCAGCAAAGGAGGTATGCTGCGTGCATCTCAGAGCCAATCAACTAGGAGCAGAAGAGAGAGAAACTCCCTAGGGTGCTGGAGACTTAACTGGAATATAACTGTAGCAAGGATGCCACAGAGCTAAAAGAGCATCACCATTTAACTAAGGCAGAGCTATAGAGATTTAAAGGGAAGGCACAGGTCCCAGGTTGTCTGAATTTAAACACTGGTTCTATCTTTGCTACTTGTATGATTTGGTTATCCATTTCCCAGTGTTTCAACTCCTTCCTCTTCAAGTGGGGGACAAGGTGCCAACATCACTGCTTCACTGCATGTGACTCAAGTTCTACCCTCAGCAGTGTGTTTTCCATTATCTCATTTCTGTACCTTCACTTGAGTTGTTGAATCTCTGGTTTGTTGAGATTCTTTCTCTAAGAAGCCCCTTCAGATAACTTCCTCTTTTGAGCTTTCTAGGGAAATTAAAAAATAATGCTCCTTGAACATCACGTTTATCTTTTATTAGGATTAGGCTTGTATTTGTTTGTCCTTTAGCTGACTTACTAATTTTTATCCATGTGACAATTAGTATATGAATGTTACCAAAAATGTTGAATTATGATTATGAACTAGATTATGAACAACTTGAGATAATACTTCCCACTTTTATATTTACCATACACCCTGCTATAGTGGATGCAATAAATGTTTGCTGAATTAAATTTGCCTATACTATATAGACAGAAAAGTGAATGGCTATCAAAATGTTCAATTTTGTGGTGACAGATGGGTATCTGAAATACAAGGATAGCATTATCAAAAATGATTGAATCATCTTGCCCTGTTCATTCATTCATTCATTCATTCATTCATAAACATTCACTGAGCATTTATTGTAGGCAGGACATTGGTCTCTGTACTAAGGGAAAAGTAAGTATCATGCCCATAAACAACTCATAGCTTAGTGGGGGATAGTAACAAGTCATTTGATTATATTTTCTTGCTTGTGATGTTGTTGCCAGTGGTGCTGAATATTAACGAAAAGAACTACTTTTCTCCATCAATTTACTTTATTTGACCTTGAATTGTGTTAGTGGGCATTGACTTCATCAAAGAGCTGGGCAACAATATAAATAAAAGGAAAATAAAATTTTATTGAATATGCATATACTTTCTTGAAATAATTGATGTGGTTGAAAAACACCAGTCCAAAGAGGACGGACTTGATGAATGTGCTAATGCCTGTGTCACTGATCATATACCCAGGGGATTGAAGTCATATATCAGTGACATTCTCATTTTTTCTATCTATGCTTATTGGGTAAATGATGGAGGGACTGGAGCTGAATTGTACGAAGGTAACTTTTAAAATTCTTCACGTTTTGATTTTCGCCAGTGAAGGTATGGCATCCTACAAACACTCCATGGAATCTGATGAGGGCAGGGGCATGAATTCTCCAAGTCCAACACTGATAATTGGGCGTTAACACTAATAAAATAGGAATTAAATCTTTGTCTCTGAGTTTTCATTCAACCTATCTGGATAAGGGATCTGACCATCTTTCATGGGATGAAATCAGAATAACTCATTAGTGATGCCAAAATACAAACCCCAAGTTCCATCAATGCTTCACACCCTTGTTGCCCACAAAATATAGCATTTCTCCAGCAGGTTAAGCAGAGCATACTGGAAATCAGAAAGTTGTTAATAGTTCTGGTTCACGTAAGCTTACTGCTTAGAAATTAATGTGAAATAGTACTGCCATTTTTCAGTGACTCCATCCAATGAATCCACATCATCACTGAAGACAAATACATGTGACACAAAACACAAAATGAACCCTGAACGTGTGCCCCCTTCCATCAAATTGTTTTTTTTTTTTTTAACTGCCAGTGTAATGACTATCAGTGTGAGAAGTTGGTCCAGAATTGGCAACAAGATGGAAGGGTGAAACAGTGGAGCAGATAAGAGGGGTAAGTGACATGAAATAAGACCAAGACCAGAAAAAAAAAAAAAAAAGAAAAGAAAAAGAGGCACCAAAATCAGACCTGTTTATGAAGTGAGAAATGGTTTTAGAGGAGCTGCTGCAAATTCTTTTTTTTTAAGATTTATTTATTTATGCATACAAGAGCTGGGGTACAGGCCAGAGGCTGTAGAGGACTCACCAGAGACAGAGTGGGGAACAGAACAGGCAGATCAACTGAAATACACTGTTGAGGGGAGCAGCAGGAGAGTCAGGAGAGGTCTGCCACACCATGTGGGTTTCTTCCTGGCCAGGGATTGAACTCATGCTGCAGAAGCTGCGGATAGCTTCATAGGTTGTGTCTTAACCCCTTGCGCCACCAGGGAGGCCCTGTTGCAAATTCTTTTCACTATATTTCCATTTGTTTCCTTTTTAAGGAATTTGTTTTATGAGGCTAGTGTTTGCCGGGTTGTTAGCTTCTGATCGTGTCTGGTACCAATTGTAGACTTTTCTCCCTTGCACTCCAACCCTAAAACCCCTTTCAAGTATCTCTTCCACTACAAACACTGGTTTCTGAGTGAAGTTGTGTTCTCTGTGTTCCCACCGCTCAATGCATTCTCCTTTCCACCCAATTAGTCTTAAAACTTCTCCAAGTTTTCTTCTTATGGTCTTTGGACAAATGTTAATGAAAGCGGCAGCAGTGCCCCAGAGAGGTAGGAAGTTAGGTATTTATTTTGGTTTGACATACAAGGAAACTGAAGCTGTTGAAGACTGGCTGGAGGCCACACAGAGAGTCAGAGGAAAATCCTCGGGTTGGAAGTCAGAACCCTTGCTCTGGAGGCCAGTCTGGACCATGAGGCCATCTCCTTGAGGATGAGGTTGCTTTCCTGTTGCTTTCTTCTCAGTTTAAGACCTAGCAGTAGCTCCTCAGCATGATAAGTGTGTGTGTGTGTGTGTGTGTTTGTGCATATGGAGGGACACTATATAAAATTTATTATTTTTTTTTAATTTTTTTTTTTAGAGGCATGTTTTATTTATTTATTTGTTTGTTTGTTTTTTGTGTGTTTATACATGCACTGGGTACAGTCAGAAGCGCGGGAAGGTGAGAGAATTCACCAGAGCCAGAGCGGGGAGCAGAGCAGGCAGAAGGACCGAAGTACACTGCTGAGGGGAGCAGCGGGCGGCAGGAGAGTTCTGAGCGCCATGTGGGACCCTCCTCCGGTGGCTGGGGAGCAGCCGGGGATCGAACCCGCGCCGCCGAGGCCGCGGGCAGCTTCGCAACCCAGCGCTCAACCGCTGCGCCACCGGGGAGGCCCACTATATAAAATTTAATAGCCCATTTTAGTTTTGAGAAATTGTCTCTTAAATGATAGCAAATCAGATTGGCAATTTCTGTCCAGTTGCCACTGTCCGCAAGGTGCTCTGCTTAGTCCCCTCAATCACTCCTCACCCTTCCACTGATTTTTTTCCAGATTTTTTCTTCATGCCCCATCAAAATGTGCTCTCAGGTAAGGATATAATGATCCATTTGGACATGATTCATGGATATTTCCTTTTTAAGAGGCAAAAAAGTTTGGGTCCAAAGAAATGAAGTTTGCATAATGGAATTTTAAATCAGTAGGGTCTTAAAAATCACATTACATAAATGGCCACCTCCCCATAATTCTAGCTTTTCTCTTCTCTCTACTTCTCCAAGAAGCTTCTACTCTTTCTTCTGGTCCAACTCTCCAGAGATATTTTGCTTGAAGTTTTAAAAAAAATTAGTTTTCAATTGTGGATCCCTGTCCAACATGAACTGTAACCTGGGGTTATCCTCTTCTTACACTCTGCTCTTGGGCATCTGGGCACAATCTTAGCACTGTTTGGCCCGGCCATCGTGTTTCTCCTTTGTTGGTTGTGCCAGTAGGTGATATCTGTATTTGGAAAACCTCTGTTGACACATTTCCATAAAAGATGGGCCCTCCTATGCCAGGGGGTGACTTTCTAAACCACAGTTGCACATCAGACTCAGAGAATTTTTATAAAATGTGGACACCCAAGCTTTGTCTCCTGGAGATGATTTTTTAGGGCTGTGGCGAG